TTTTTTTTTTTTTTTTTTTTTTTTTTTTTTTTTTTTTTTTTTTTTTTTTTTTTTTTTTTTTTTTTTTTTTTTTTGGAATGAAGTGGTTTGTGTTTCTTTTAAAATAAATGCACTATAGACTTATAAACAGGTTGAATTTTAACTATTTATGAATATTTTTTATGTAATAATTTGTTCTATTGTACGTAATTTAATTTTAATAAAACTAAAATTAGTTTATAACATGAATCAGTATGCTTGTCAATGTGTTTTATAATTTTTAATGTAATTTTTATTTTTAAATTGATTTTCAAATTTTAAAACTGGATCCAGTAAAAATATAAATTTTGTGAATATTCACTGTTTGGATTACAAAATCCAAAAGCAGTGATCTGTCAAATGTGTATTTGAACCCATTTGACAAAGTGTGAAAACAAAAGGCAGAATTAAACAGGCAATTTGGGTTTAATTACAGAAATTGTCATCTTACATGAATGTAGGATTTGGTTGTAATATTTCTATCCATTTATTATGGTTAATAAACAAGCCTAGTTTACCGGCTAAGGAATACTACTTACTACCTCTAAAAGGTTGTAGATTTAAATCCACATCTCGACGTTTTGTAATATTATATCCTCAAAGGGGAAAAAATCTATTTACTATTTATTCAGTTGAAATATTTTTCAGAAAGGATTTTTTGACGTTTTGTGTAGTTCTTATGGTTTACTGTGGTTGAAGTGTTTCGTTTGGACGCTGCATATGATTCACTCATTTAGTTTGCAAGTGCTTTTTTTTAATTATATTTGCCAACATTTACAGCTAATGTGTAGAAAGTAATAGCAGGAAAAATGGTATACGTTAAAGAGGTAAGGATGGATATTGAGTGATTATCAGGATAGTTAGATTTATGTTATTAGTATGATATGCAGATCATTGCAACAGTCTGTATGTTCCTCGCTGGGAAGGTTGAAGAGACGCCTCGCCCACTAAAGGATGTTATCATTGTTTCTTATGAAATTATTCACATGAAAAATCCTGCTGCAGCCCAGAGGATCAAACAGAAGGTTGTCTCTTACTGATGCTGTTTAAACCTTTTAATTTGTTTGCTTACTCAATTACTAGTTACCTATCAATTAGTCGGTCTTCTTGATGTCTGTGCTGTCTCTCCTCTCATGCGTGGTCATATGCACTTAATTGTGCTAAATATCGTCGGTTCACTTGTTTATAATCGATCTTTTTAAAACATGCAGGAAGTTTATGAGCAACAAAAGGAGTTAATTTTACTTGGTGAGAGAGTTGTGCTCGGGACCTTAGCTTTTGACCTGAATATTCATCACCCTTACAAGCCACTTGTTGAAGCAATAAAAAAATTTAAGGTTGCCCAGAACGCACTAGCTCAAGTTGCATGGAATTTTGTCAATGATGGGTAAGATCAAGAGGCTATTCGTTTATTCATGAATCTTTTAGTTCCTACTATATAGCCTCTTCTTTATTCTCTCTTCCGACACTTCTTACCAAAATCCTCTGACACTGGTCTTTGGGCAGGTTGAGGACGTCACTCTGTCTGCAGTTTAAGCCCCATCATATTGCAGCAGGTGCCATTTTTCTTGCTGCCAAGTTTCTTAAGGTGAAGCTTCCATCCGATGGTGAGAAGGTTTGGTGGCAAGAATTTGACGTGACCCCTCGCCAATTGGAGGGTTCGTGTCCCTTCATTTTGTCAATTGAGATAATCTCTGACCAAAATTGTCAGCCTTTGCTGTTTGTGACTGATATTTGTAATTCTCGTCCCGTTAGAATTGTAGAAAACCAACCTGAACCAGATGATTTTAAATATTCACAATTCATTCCTTTAATGCTGTGAAGAATGATCAAGAATGTGATATACTATCATATGATTTGTGTCTAGATTTTCAGGATTGAGTGTCATCCACGATAATATAGCTGTTATAGAATAAGCTTTTTCTTTGTAGTCTTTGAGTGAGCAACCGGAAATCCCAACTAATCATTTTATTTGTATCTTTTTGCAGAGGTCAGCAATCAAATGCTAGAACTATACGAGCAAAATCGGGTGCCACCAGCTCAGGGAAGTGAAGTAGATGGAAGTACTGGTGCGGGTCCAAGTCATCCTAATGTAGCAAAAACCACAGCTGCTACTGAGGAACAGACTTCAAAGCAAGTATCTTCTTGTTCAGCACCCGACCATTCATATGCAGATAGTCATGGGGTACCTCAAAGAGCTGCCCAGAATCTTGGCAAGAACAATGGGACAGCTACGGAGGGGGGTAGTGTCATTACTGGACACAAGGTGGACCCAGAATTGACAGACAGTCATCATACTGATGAAGTGACCTACAAGGATAATAGCAGAGATATTTCAGACCGAACGAGGTCTGTAGTTGAACACGTTGGAGAAGAGAGAGAAAAGAATAATAGTAAAAGTGAGAATGCGGAAGCAGGAGAACGGAGGGACAATGGTGTATCTCACAAGTGTAGCAGTATTGTTGGTCGAAACGCTGAGGTTCGGGAAGGTCCCATTGGGCAGTCGCCCAAAGAAGCTATCAAAATGATTGATAGAGACAAGGTCAAGGCAGCACTTGAGAAAAGAAGAAAATCACGTGGAGAGATGTCCAGGAAGAAAGATGTGATGGATGAAGATGATCTCATTGAGAGAGAGCTGGAAGATGGTATAGAATTGGCGGCAGAGGATGAGAAAAACAGGCGGGAGAGGGGGCAAAGCTGGTCTAAGGTTGATAACCAAGATGATGGGAAGGTCTGCGAGGAATCTTTAAGTGCGCATCATTCAGGAACCAAGACCCACACTTCACGGGGGACCAAAGTAGAGAATGTAGTTGAAGAAGGAGAGATGTTAGATGATGCTTCCCCAGCTTTGAATAGCCGCAAGAGAAAGGCTGGGAGGTCCCCTGATTGGCACTCCGAGGGAAAGAAGTGGAACGATTCGATGTCTAATAACCATCATCATGCTGTGGAAGATGGTAACTGCAAGAATCGATCGGTTTATGCAGACAGGGAGATCAAAAGACATGCCCATGGGAATCACTTATAAGTCGTCGTCGTCAAGGATTCAGATCTGTTATATTGTAGCATAGCATGCGTGACCTGGGTAGTCCAAGTACTGAACCAGATCATTGCAGTGAAGAGAATACCGGTGCCACGGAGCCATGCATCATAAAATACAGGAACTATGGATGGATGCTTCACCTGGCAATCCTGCAAACATGCATACTTACCACTAATATGCTTCTTCAGTACATAAAAAAGCTAATTTGCTTGGCCGAGATGAAATTTACGTAGCACGAACATAAGCTTGCTTCCGCCATTTTTCGTGCAAGGAAGCCACGAGGACTGTAATTTTGGTCGTAATTAATATTATGTTTCTGCTGTACTTTAGGATCGTTATAATATGCTTTTACCTTAGGAGTTATAAATGTAATTTGGTTTACAGTATTCGTATGTAATTTCGGTCTAGGATTCAATTGTATCTCTCTCAGTCCGTTGAGCTTTCGGCCAGTATATCGCCCGAAGTTGGAGGAAAGAAAGGTGGAAAAATGTAATGCATGTCGGGAATTGTCCTCGTGAATTTTGGTGATGGTAACTGTGTAAACTCAACAGGCAAGTTTTATGTTCCAAAATATGTTGGAATGTTTGTCCATATAACAAGGCAAAATTACTGTGTTCTAAGCTTTTATATATGTTCATATGAGCAGCTAACATGGTTGATACCTGAAAGGTACTCTTATGATAACATTTGCTAGCGCAATTTGTCCCCTCATGCATTAGTTCTTATTTTCTTTCATAAAATCCTTCGAAATTCATATGAAATTGCTCGAGTTTTAATGTATTAATACATTAGGAATGAGGTCACCCGGTCGAAGTTAATACGCTGAAAAACAGGTTGACACACTCAATTTAAATTGTATTTTTTATATTTTATGAACATTATCTATCAAGTTGAGCATAGCTTAACTCGTTAAAATTTCATTCTTGATGAAAATATTAAAGACCCGAATCATCAAAATAGAAGCTTGTACAATTTTAACATCAAAATTTGGTAAGAATCTAAGTATTATTAATGAAACGAAAATGGTGTATATTACTTTTTTTTTTTTTTTAATCTCAACGTAAGGACAAATTGAAACATTTGATCTATTAGTTGCAAATAAATACTTTAACCAATTGAACTATATTGAATTTGACACCAATGTATCAGTAACGTACAAGAAAAAACGATCATAGTTGCAAATTACTTGTTCATATAACAAACCGATAGGAGCCATCACGAGTATAGCTTGGACGGGTGGACCCAGGAGAAAGTTCAAGTACAAAGGAGTGGGCTTTTCTCCTATCCATATCAGCTTCCTTATTCCCTCCTTCATCTTATCCAAATCCTTCATCTCCACCATAAATCTCATGATCTTCTCCTTCTTCCCCTTTCTGGTTCTGCAACTCCCGAACCCTTCAAACCCTTCAAACCCATTACAGAGATCTCAACAATGTCGCTCACAATCCCCACAAACCTCTCAAACTCCCTCTTTAACCCCAAATTGAGCAACCCATTGGCCTATAAGCCAAAACCCTCTTCATCAATCCTCTGCTCCTCTGCTCCGCCGCTCAAAACCAAAATGAAAAGCCCTCCTCCTCTTTTCAGGCCTTCTCCGCCGCCGCCTTAGCCCTCTCCTCCATCTCCGGCCTAACCCCCTGCAAGGAATCCAAGCAAAGAGGAGATTCGCGTTCTACGGGAAGCAGGGGCTTGGCAGATGGGTTCATCCGCTAATTTAAGATTAATTTAGAAAATGATCATGAGTTTATAAGCCAAAAATACTCGGAAAGTGCTCAAGAGGGTGGTGTTCCTAACATTCATAACAATGGGTTTTACATTGCCAAGGGCAATTTAGTCTTTTCACGTCCCCCATATTCTAAATATTTTTCTTCAAATTCATGTTTTCAAATGGGTCATAACACAAATTTCAAAAATAAAATAACTTTTTTTAAATTTTAAATTTTGATTTCAGTTTTAAGTAAATAACATGAAAAAAAAATCTTATTTTAAAAAATGAAGTAATTAATAAATTATGAGTTCTTATTATATAAAAGAAAATAAAACTTTTATTAATGCTACTAAAACACCAATAAATGAACCATAAATTATCACATTATTATTATATATAAATTATTAATTAAAAAAAATACTTATTTTAAAAAATTGGGACTAATTTATAAATTGATTTGTATCCAAAATTAAATTTAAAGAAAAAAAAAACTCAAATAATTAAAATTTGATCCCATGGGCTTAATTTCATAAATTGGGCCCTATAAGTCTAAAAAGTTCAATTGAGTGAGACGACATATAACGGCTCAACTTCTTCTTAAGTGTCGTGTGAAGCTGTTTTGTATTTGAGATTTAATGGACTTTCCCTGTCGGAGTTATAAATTTAAGTTGTTTTATAGAACCTATAAATTAATTAAATCCATAATTTTTTTTATTTATTGGTAACTCTGCCCAATCTAAATAAGCTCCTAACCGGTCCAAATCGTACAGGTTGAATTGAGTTGAGTTGATCAGGTTTTTTTTTCAGGTCATCGGGTTTCTTGAAAACCCCTACTCAAATCCAGGTATTGATCCAACTTAAAATGTATGCTACCAGTATTTTTCTACATTTGTAAACTCGAGCGCAGTTTAGCAGATAACGAACAATCACCCTTTCAAAAGTCAATAGTTCAATCTTATCGTACCTCAATTGAACGCTTAAAAATTCAAAAAAGTATATCTTTTTAGTCTCGAAATTAGAAAGATATTATCATAAGTCACGGAATGCATTTCAACAAATTAATTATAAGTTCTATTTAAATTAATCATTTTAATTATATTGAAAATTTCATAAGCTCGAGAAACCATAGGGCGTGACATTAATTATGGTTTTAAAATTAAAATTAAAATTAAAATTAAAAATCAAATATTATTGCCGACATTGATGGCAAGAAACGACACAAATCATTGCTAAATTTGTTGACTTTTTTCCTTCTTTTATTTGACCTTTTTCTTTCCCTCCAAACACACAAATTCCACTTTTTCATTGCTAAGAATCAATCCTTTTTTTTTCTTTTCTTTCCATAATCTTACCTTTTCTCGAGTCGGTGAACGATAACGATAACACGAATAGTCTCTTATCTTCTCGATATTTTTTCATGTTAAAAGAATCTCGAGCTACTTTCTTCATTACACCTACGACCAACAATGATTCTATTCAAATAGCTATCGATACATCTGCCAAATTGAAATACTTGTACTGGTATTGGTAAAAATTTTGAGTTTATCGACGATCGCAAAATGAAAAAGTTCAAGAATCAAATAAACAGATAAGAATTTTGACGAAAAAGTAAGAAGTGGGTCCCACAATTTGATGGACAGACATGTGATGATGAAGAAGAGAAGAGAGTAATTGTCATATTGTCCCCCGACATCTTCGACTGCACACACCTAACCTAACTAACTGCTTAAGCTTTGTTGTCTTTTAACTGCCACAAGTCGTTCATTAGCTTCTTCCCTCCCGTTTCCCCATTATTACTGTTCCCTTGGCCCTAGATTGTGTGAAAAACCAACTCAAATCAAATCAAATCATTACATACCCATCCATCCGAGACGGTTTGACTTGAATTGATGTGTTTCATGTCGTATATTTTATAATTCTATGAACATATTTTACTCAAGTTCATATTTTTCACCGGTATATTCGTCGATTTAGAATTTTGACTTTTAAAAATATTTCGAAAATGATAATTAAAGTCAAAGATGCTTCCTACCACCAACGAAAAAATGTTCGTAAGATTTATTTGAATGAAATTTTCATACAATTTCGTTCGATAAAAATTGAAACATATATATATATATATATATATATATATATATATATATATATATATTTTTGAATAGGGGAGATGTTTGTTTTGTTTGTGGAACAATAAAGTGAAACCTATCTAAAACAAAATTCTAAATTTTCCGACCAAATTTGCAATTTTACCTTAATTTATTACTAAATCTAAATTTATGTTCAATCCTTCACACACAAGAAAAAATTATTGAAATCATTATAAAATATTCAAATTTATTTTCGTTCGATTTTAAATTAATTTTAAACATGTCGTTATCGTTAGATTGCCTTTATTATTATACTTTTTTACCTAACGTTATCACGATGGTTTATGATTGTGCTTAAACAATTTGAGTACGTGGTTGACATAGAGAAGAATCGTATTCAATTAATAACCTAAAGAGTCTATAGTATATGAATAAGGTTGGGTGTCTTATCCTACTAACACTATTGATACTTTGTAATTGATACAAATGAATTGATCTAAATCGTTCATACATGACATATGAATTCACATAAGACTGGATTTAGTCGTAGTTTGCTTGGAGCAATTTTACGTAGGGTGACCTCCTGGGAATCTTCTTAGAAAGCACGTGATGATAGTATTCACTCTTAGAAGCAAAAACTAGATAACGAGCTCGAATTAGGTCATGCTTTATTTTGAAGTTTTAAATTCATACAAATATCGTTCTCATTTCTCTTAATTATGTTTTTTTTTTTTAATAATTGAAGAATGTTTCAACTTGACACATGTTTTTGTCTTATTTTTCATAATTACAATACGACAATGCATAACAGATCTTTAACGACCCAATTTTCAATTTGAAATTTGATGATTCCGACGTTCCATTACAACACGGTCACGTTACTTACTCCTCACTTCATCTAACATATAATTACTTCAAGCAAAACAAACTTATTGGTACGAGCAGTAACTTTCAATTCTTTTAAATATTTCTTAATCATCCTATCCTAAAGATCACTCTCATTCAGATGTGATCCCGGTTCATTCATACATTCTTCTTTACTCGGGTGTCACAAAATTCTTAAACTTCTAAAATTTTCCAGTAAATTTTATAATTTTAATTTTGTATCTAATAAGTTTCTAAACGTATTTTAAATATATAAATAAATAAAACATATAATGAGAGGATATGTCTCCTTTTGTGGAAGAAAAAGATAGTGGGATTTTTAATTTAGTGTCTCCAAAACTAAAAACATAATCATTCACAAATATAACTGCCATTGACCCCTTTCATTTTGACTGCAATCTTATTTTTTACCTTTTTTTTTTTCTTAAAACTTGGATATGATTATTAATTAATTGTGTTTTAATTTTGAGTTAAATACTAAATTTGATTTAATTATTATTATTAACGTCTTCTCAGCTGTATTTTTTACTAAAATGTTAGATGTTCGAATCTCAACCGCTACTCGTTGTGGATCATCAGTCAAAAATGTTCGGTAGGAGATTTCATTTTTGAATTCGAGACTTCTAAAAAATAAAATCTTTTTGACTTTTTGTTGGGATCCGAAAAAAAATTTAAATTATAAAATATAAAGTTTAAACATTAAAAATATATATATATATATTATCAATGGTTTTGTTGGACCTTAGTTGAGGTTTTTTTTCACTAACCGAATACAACTCATGTAGAATCTAAACTTGTTTGATCACACATGCTGCTCGTGTGTGTATGTTCAATTGTTTGCGACCTTAACCAACTTGTCTTTGTACTAAGCTAAGGTCATTCATGTGTGTTGTCGCATCTTATCTTGTCATCTTGGTTTCCAACAACATGACTCTCATACCATGATGTCATCACAAGTCTCGAGATGTCACTGACCATCATAGTTTGTTCGATCACGTCTATCA